ATCAATGTGATTCATATGTTCTAGCATTTAGGACAGGTCTATGTTCCTTAGCTGTGAAATATCAGTGTACAACTGACTGCAACACACATATCCACTGACAACCAGATCTTCAAGGGGCAACTTTATGTCCTACTTGTGAACCTTTCACTTGGTCTTACCCTACACAGTAGAGTCTAACTTTATCTGTATTGACCTCCACATTTACTGGTACAAAAAGTTTTCATAGTTGCAAAAATAACTGCATGAATGTGAGTTTTTGTTTGTTTTTTCCCCCACAGGCTGATTTGAAAAAGTGTATCATAATTTGGAAAACAAAATATCCACTCACAAAATAGAATTTCTTGCTGCGAAGCAACTCAAATGTTGGGAAAAATTAAACACAATCACTCCCCAGCAGCCGTCTCAGTAATCCACAATGCATTGCACGTGTAAGACAAACTGCATTTTTGTATGATGGGTACCAATAACACTTGAATGTTTGAAGTGCTTGAATTCCTGCTGATACAGTGATTATGGCAAGTGAAACATATTCACAAGTATGTGAGAAATGCAGATAAGTAACATTAGCAGCATTAGAGGACACAGGTTTGAGGGTCGGGTTCTTGAAAAGGGAGAATTACACCACTTGGCAATTCATGATAAATAATCAAACAATACCCACAGCCATTAGATGTTACAGCTAAAACAATAAATACCACACATACAGAAGTCTGAGTATTGAAAGCAATTTTAAGCCCCAGTTTATCCATATCAGTGACTCTCAGCTACGTGTTTGAGTTAATCTAGACAGACAGCACGCAGGCCTGGCTCTGCTCTCGCCCATAGAGGAGGAAGCCTACAGCAGTGCGCAGGTCCTCCAGCTCTAAGTTAGCCAGGAAACTCCTCTGAAGCTCCGCCTCCACTTTGTTCCCACTGGGCCCCTGACAGCCCTTAAGGAGAACCACAGCAGACTGGCAGAGCAACCAATCAGCCAGCTTCCTCATGCCCACACTGTCCTGGTTAGCCAGAGCCTTCCGACCCCAGAGGCTCAGATGTAGCATGTTGGCTGCCACACGGGCAGTGGGGCGCTGCAGGGTATGAAGAACATGTTTCAGTAGTGGAATGGTAGAGATGCCTCTCAGGTAAATCTACAGAAAATGTTAACTTCACAATTCCCCTTAGTGTTGAGAGAATTGTGATTTTTTTTTAGTTCAATGTTTCGGTTTAATAAATGAAACTATATTGTTTTAGCTCTCTTTTACTGAAAACTTAAATATTAAACTAAACACAGCCCCTTCTTTACCTTGTTTGGGTTTCTCCTGAGAAGTAAGCGTATCACGAACTGCACGTCAGCTGGAACACTGGAGGGTAGAGGAGGAAGCTGCTTCTCCTGGTAATTCCTGCTCTCCAGTCCCACTGCTCGATAGAATGGATTTTGCTGTCCAAATATCTCGTAGGAAATGGCGCCCACGGCCCAGGCATCTGCCTTGCTGTAGTCAAGCACCACACCACATCCTGGAACTGCAGTGGCCACCTGATGGCAGAAAAATTATGAGAAATTAAAGTGATTAAATATCTGGTTAACTGCAAATTATCTATTTATATGAATTCTTATTTATCTTAATGATTCATTTCAAAACACAAAGATACAATTAGGTTACTTGAATGGTATCCAAGTGTCACCTCCGGTTATAACCAGAGTGGAGGCAAAAGTCACAAAATTCAGTCTTAATAGTCACCAATAAGAGACGGCGCAGTAACTGTGGCTACTCAGTTACAATAAAGATATTTTTAATCTTACCTCCGGAGCCATAAGTGAAGCATTCCCTCCTTTGCTGACCCAAATGCTGTTGAAGGGCAGCTGCAGACTAGAATCGCTCTGGGCCAGACAGCATCCAAAGTCAGAAATCACTAAACGGGGGCAACCATCTGCATAAAGGACAAATCAATATAACACCGGTGACCCAAACAGACCTCAAGTTGGCATAGTTTACATTTGGCTTTAAACTGTTCTGTTATTGACAGAATTTTGTTCGGACCTGAGTCGAATTCCAACAGCACGTTGTCTGATTTTAGATCCCTGTGAGCGACACCCTCTCTGCACAAATGGTCAATCCCCTCAAGGAGCTGCAGCACCATCAGAGTGCCCTGCCTGCGGCTTGGTGTGGACATTTCCAGGTACTGCCTCAGTGTGCATGGATAGCTATGACACAAAAAATCTGTGAAGTTACTGAATAAAAATGACCTGACACGTACACTATAAAAAAAACCCAACAAAATACTAAAAATCTCTGAAAACAAAGACAGTGACTTTTTTTTTATTTTTTTATACACAATGTTTCTAGCACACATACTGGGTTGGACTGAGGTAGGTAGGAAGGTAGGTCTTACTTCTTCATGACCAGGAAAAGAGTGCGATTGTTGCCCAGGCCTGTAGGGTTAAGCCTGGGTGGCAAAACATCTGGATATTCCTCCTGAGCACCTGGTAGCAATGGAACATCTGCAGTAAAAGCCCGGTACACTCGGATTACATTAGGGTGTGCTGACACTCTTTTGGGCAGGACTCCGAAATGTCTGCATGTAGAGAAATCACAGCCATTCATTAGTCCGTTTCCTATCCTTAGGTCACCACTCTGAGGCAGGAATAAAAAGAACTGAGGTTATAATACTTACCCATCCAGAGTAATTTCTTCTTTTTCCTGCTTTAAGGCATGAGGACCTGCAGGGACCAGCTCCTGAGACATAGACTTTAAGATGGCCTCACTTGATGACCCAGCCTGCAAACAAATAGCAAAATACCCGTCGGTACTGATGTGTGGCTCTTTTTCGTTTGTTTTCGTACAGAGGATTAAAACCTAAAACAGATGTGAAATCATTATCAAACCATTAGTATACTACCCACCCCAAAGTTCCACATCATCTTAATAGCAAAAGGGAAGTTCCTTAGTGAGCAGCATGTCAGAGATCGAGGTGCCTCAGTTTCCACTTCACCTTCTTTTATCTGCACCAGGGAGCATTTTCTGGCACTTTGCTTTGGAGGAGCAAACTGAGCTGCAGCCTCATACACAGCTGCATTGGAGCCTTTCCCAATCTGGTTCCCTAGAATGTAATCCTCCAGTTTATATCCAGAGGTGAATGGCTTAAATGGACTCTGGAATTTCTTCTTTCTAAAAACAGCCTGCAGGGGAAAGCAATAACAATAATAAGCTACACAAAGATATGTTCATATCAATCACGTGCTATAAACAAATTTAGTCAAGAAAAAAAAGGAAAAACAATCAGACTGTATACAACAACTTTTTAAAGCCCCCAAATGTACCTACACTTGTTATAGACGCAGCTAGAGACATATTAAAATAATAAAAAGTAAATTAATGCAAGATTGCAACCAGGTTATCCATTCAGGCCTCAGTGCAAACAGCATGAAAATTAAAGAACGTACACAAATCTTGGGTCTATGCATTACCGTATCAACAAAACATTCATAAATGTAAAAACAATATGCAGAATTGGTGAAGATACAAATAAACAAACTTTCAGTGAAAAAAAAACCCAATACGGCAAATAACCATGAAAATAAAGACTAAAAGAAAAACGACTACTAACAAACCACTTTGTCAGAAGCTGCTACACTTAACGACTTAAATGTCGCTTAGGTACCCTACTGTGACCTACTTTTAGATACCATACCTGGATCTCCTGGCATGTTGAAGCACTCTTTCTGTCATCCTCCAACTGTTGTTCGATAAGCCCCACACCGAGACCGAAAGCCAAAAATACAGCTCTGTTACGCGGGGACCCGCCAGCAAACCTCCTGAAGCCGGCGGACTGAAGCTGAGCTGCCAGGCCTTTCAGAGAAGTGCGGTAATAGCGGTACCGAGACGGCAGGAAAGCCTGAGGCTGAGCGGTGCGGACCGACGGGCCTGCACGGAAACGGTCAGCTCGGAGCTTTGCTGCGAGTCGGCCACCGGATTTCAGGAGACCGAGCTGAAAGACCGACCGGCCCAACTCGAGTCCCCGGCTAATAGCGTGTTTCACAGACATAATTTACCCGGACAGGTAACTTAAGCTGCTACAACGAAGTTTTACTTCTGCCTAGCTCTCTACACCTAGCTCTCGAAAGGACAGCGTTATGTAAACAAAACAATAACTGCTGCTGCTGAGCATGCGCAAACCTTTAGACTGTCTTCTTTTCGTTTACCGGAGGGTGGCGTTTAGCGATCAGGGGACATATCAGGGTATAAACACAAATACATTTAATCATGTCACAAATACAGGATCACTAGAGGTTCAATTTATGCTGGGCTGCCGAGCACACTATATATTTTTAAAAAATGTATAACAACCCAGTCCCCAATGGCATTTAAAAGGTTGTTTAAGGCCTGACACAAAAATGTTTGAGTAGTTTCTCCCTCCTTAACTACTCAAGGTGATGTAGATTTTTTTCTTTTCTTTTCTGTTTGTTTCTTTTCTTTTTTTTCTTTTAAAAAGTCATCCAACTACCCATGTGGATACTTATTTTATTAGAAAATTGACAAAAATTATGGCTTGCCTATGTGGTACAGACCACCCAAGAATCTGTTACTTTGCACTAATTAGTGAATATCTGTATCTGTGCATTACACCTGTACAGTTTATAAATGAAGCCTGCTAATTAGGTTTGCTGTTGTAAGTGTTGTCAGTTCATAGTTTTGTTGTATGTTGGATACAACATGTTAATTTAGTGAATTCTGGTCAAAAGGAGGGTGAAGCTTTACCATGTCACTGACATGTTGGCCAGTGGGTGTGCAGTGTCCCTCAGTTTCACAGTCCTGATATAAACTGGTGAAAATGCTCAGCCTGAAGCTTCACAACCTGACTTCTCTAAACATCAAGGTGACTATATCCATCTTTTATTTAAAATGTATGTTGTCTTGATGCATGCTCAATCATCCAGGTAAGTAAATCTCCAAAAGTTGATTCTGTTCATCACTTGGATGAGTCACGAAATGTTTCTCCCACGCTACGTCCAGATGAACAGAATCAACTTTTGGAGATGAAATGTATGATCTCACAAGAAATGTGTGGCTCAAATAAGAGATATTTTAATCATTAATTCATCACTACTAAAATTATTAATTTAAACTTCACAGTTATGCAACTACAGAGGAACCACACAAGTGTACAAAATCTGTAGCATAAGACTATAAAAACAAATTTAGCTTCCATTAATGCTTATAAAAAATTGGACAAATGGTAGCATTTGCTTGATCAGATGATCAATGCCAAACCTGTAGCATGTATAGTTTAGTCTCTGAAGTTCCATTGGGTAGGATCCAATCACCTTACGGTAAACAACAACAAAAAAAAGCAGAGAGAATGCCCCTGATACATGTATCATACACACTTATTGCACCATTTTCAACTTATTCGTGGTCATAATGTTTCACTGTTAAATTATAGTTAACCTCAACAGGTTCACATGAATTTCCCAGTAATATACTTCCCAGCATGCCATTATTTTTAATCAGAGCTTTTTAGCATATGTTATAACTTTGTTAGGTTAACTGGCATAGGTGTGAATGTGAGCATGAATGTTTAGGTTTAGCTTAACAACAGAAACCAGCACCAGAGAGAAGCTGTAATTATTCAGTGTGCAGCAGGATAGCTTCTATATTTAGTTGTTTAGATACAACTTGATTAGGCACCCAGTGTGAGGTTAATGCCACAGCTGCCCTAAGTTGCTCTATAACACGAGTAAACACTTTCCTAAGGAGTTCTTTATGTTTAAAACAAGACCCGAGTTCAGTGAAGTCGATAATTTTGAGTTTTAAACAGGTTTTTGACAGATTACTAAAATATTTGTTTGTTTGTCTAGCTGCATTATGTAACCATTTGCTATGTGTTTTATGAACATATAAAGGTCAGCTCTTCTTTGTGAAGAAAAATTGAGCACTTTGTTGATTTTTATATTCTAAGCAACTTTTGGACATTTTGGACTTTGAACACAAGAGACTGATAGAAGCATGATACAGACAATCAGCATCTTCACTGTCACTGTGGATGGGTTAACCTTTTATTCCATACTAGTAGTAGTAGCAAGTATCACTTGTCAGTTTATAGACCCAGTGCATTGGTAAAATTGTTCTTAAAGCTGCACTAATTGAAACTGTCATATTTACAATGAAGCTTAAATAAAATATAAGAGGTTTTGCTTGTAGTAACAGGCATAATAGGAAAATTGATTCATGTGAAAACAACAACATTGGTGATTTTTCAATAGTACTATTCACTTTGAATGATTAACACAGTTACTAATTATACTGCTATAGTACCAACAAAAAATAAAAAGGATATCATAGCAACAAGTCTTTCTTTTATTATTCCCTATCAGAAAAAAGAGTGACAATCAATTAATTATAGGTGCAATATTGACATATTTCCAGGAACATTTTAGAAATTCCTAACGTTAATATTTATTCATTTCAGGCCCATCTGAAAATTATGTTCATTTGACTGTTTAACTGAAAAAAATCGCTCATGGTGTGTTGTCAATAACCCAGTTAATCCACTGAATATAGCTCCTGACTCTGGTGTAGACACCAGGGTAGTACTGATTTGCACAGCCAATACCCCAGGAGACAATGCCCTCAAAGTAGCCATTGCAGACAAGGGGGCCCCCGGAGTCGCCCTGTGGAGTACCACAACAAATCAGGATTGTTTTTTGATAATAGAGCATTTCACATTCACCCTTAAATGGAAAATGTTAAATATTATTAAAATGACACTGAAATTATATGTAAATCATCACTGGTTAACATATATTTTATAGCATATATAACAGGTGTCATTTTGCCTATAAATTTATGAGGAAATATTCATTTAAAAATAGTATTACTCTACAAAATGCAGTTGCTAAGTAGTAATTAAGCATACCACAAACACAAAATAAATCATGTTTTCCATGAATGTATACCTGGCAAGAGTCCTTTCCCCCGTATGGAGATCCAGCACAAAGCATACCTGGTTTGATCCTGCCCCAGTAATACCAAGTGCAATAAGGTATTTCTCTTACATCCACAGCACGTAGCACAGGGGAGAGGGTGTAACTGTAAACCTGTGTCACTCCCCAGCCACTCACTATGCAGGTGCCACTAAAGGGAGGGGTACCTTCATCAGGTATCAGAACTGGCTGAACATAAGCATTCAGCTGTGCTGGTCTGCTAAGCTGTAACACAAACCAAAGTTAGGGTGGTACCATTGTGAGATCACATTTTTTTGTAGCTAAGTACAAGTCCTACTTACCTTAATAAGCATGATGTCATTCTCATATGTCCTGAAATTATAATTGTGTACATATATCTTTGAGACATTGAAGATCTGTTCAAATCCCTCTGTTTTGATCAGGCTGTGCTCACATAGCACAACCCTCATAAAATTACTCCTGTTAAACAGAAAGAGACAAAACGAAATGAGAATTTCACATATGTTCTTTCAAAACAGACCTTCTCCCCTCAATAATTATTAAACATTTTCATTAATGTTTATTAGTAAAGCTGCAATCTTGCTGTATGGTGTCAGTACTTACGGTCTCCAGCAGTGGGCAGCAGATACCACCCACTCTGGGTGAACTAGCGTGGCTCCACAATAGTGATCCCCGACCTCAGTCTGAAGGGATGCCTGGTATTTGATAGAGTATGGTTCGACCTCTTGACCCCCGATGATCCTTCCTGTATTCTCTTTCTCTGTGACGAAAGACAGAGCGAATCAGACAATTTGTCTCTATATTTTACGTTCTTTTGGTTTACAATAAAAAAGATAGATTGTCAGGGTAATGTGCCTTAACAAAAAAAAAAAAAGCAGAATATTCTAGTAAGTTTCTTAACTTAAAGAAGTCTAGTTGTTTTCGTTCCAAGCTCCTTATAATATTCCAGTTCTGTATTCATTTCTACAGTATTGTCTGGCTTCATAAACTGAGTCAGACAGCAGTATTACAGCCACGTCACAGAAAATTTCTCCTGATCGACTAACATGTCTGTTTTTGTCAGCTGTTTTAAAGTCTTTGTGTATTAGTCTTTAGATCTAAACATTGAGACTAGAATTTCATATCCTTTGCTAAGTGTCTTGGAATGAAAAATTCAAAGATATAACTCACGTGAATTTACTGAAAAAGACAAAAGAAGCAGCACAGTAGTGATTGCCACAGCAGCCATATTGTAATTGATACCTGTAACACAGAACAACGACAGCTAGCAGCTTCTATATACATAAATTACTGTCATTTTAATTGCTCGTGCTAATGAACTATAAATTATTTGCTTAGTTTTGCTTAATTTGGTTATTTTGCTTTGTTTAAAAACTGTATCGCAACAATTACAGGATCAACAATATCTTCAAAAGCACTAAATGACCATTTAATTCAATTCTTTTGAACAATGAGCTTTTATTTTTAAAATATAGTTCGACTGTGAATTATTTGTAGACAGTTGAACATTAATTACAATTTCACTAAAAAGGGTTAAAATAAAAATTTGCTTACCTGAAAGTCTAGACACAGGAAGCTTCAGAGTATCTCCAAATGATGAGAGCAATGCTCTCCTCTTTCTTTTTATAGTGTAACTATATCCTTGTCAAGATCTTTTGTTTAAATTATCTTTTCGTCTTGTTGTGTTCTGTAACCATCTCACGCTCCTACAATGAAACTGACCTACAACCTGACAAAGCTAGGGTGTTCTCTTGTATTATGCCCATTTCTAAGCTCAAGTTTTATACTTGCAGTTTTTAGGTTGGCAACGCCTCTACAGGATCAACAATATCTTCAACAGTTATTTCTCTATTAAATGTTGATAATGTTTTTAATGAGATGAAATTAGATTGCAATAGTTTCCACGATTATGTAGGATATAAAATAATAAAGTTAGAAAAGTCACACTGGCAAGATTAACTTCATTTCAAAACTAAAAAAACACAAAAGACAGAAGCACTTCCGGTTTCTATGATTCATTTTATGAAAATCTAAAAAAAATCTGAATCTTATTTAAACATCTAAAAATTTCAAATGTATTAGTTGAGATTTAAATGAAATAACTGGCCATCACAGACAATGATAAACAGTTTACTGGCTAAGAGTACATTGCTAAACTCTGGCTTTATGGTGTTTGTGTTATTGCAAACTAATAGAGATAAAATACAAACAATGGTTGGTATTATTTTCCATGAAGTCTTCGACTTCCTCCCATAGTCCAAAGACACTTAGACTAAGATATCCATAGGTGTGAATGTGAATGGGAATGGCTGTCTGTCTCTCTGTGTTAGCCCTCTGAATGGCTGGTGATGTCCAGGATGTACCCTGCCTCTTGCCTTACAGTAGCTGGGATAGGATCCAAACTCCCTCCCCAAGCCTAAGGATAAGCGTAAAAAGACTGGATGAACAGAATATTAATTATAACCACATGGAGACTTTGTCGTGTTCAAATTTTTCAGAAGGAATTCAGGAGAAATATCTGTCCTTTAGAAAGATTTAATTTACTTCAGCAGCTGAAATTACAAGTTTACTTCACTGGAATGCAATGTGATAATCTGCCTCACACCAAGATGATCATGGCTAGACAGACACACAACACACTCCCTGCGTAGTCTTGATTATCTATATTATCCATTATTCTTCAACCGATTCTAAGGCCCAGTTAAGGACATCTTCTTCAGACTTCTTGACCCAGAGAATATTCAAACCATCATCATGTGTGTGTAAGCATGCTGCAAAAAACCCTCTGCACTCAACGTCACTAACAATATTTCAGCCCAGTTATAGCGTTGGATGAAACTTTTGACCCTCAAAACATAGAGTGTACATTGTGTTCTTTTCATTGCAATGGGGCTTAGACTATACTCAGGCTCTCTGTTGTACCTCACCTTCAGGTTCTGTTACACACAACTTTAATATGTCAGTGATTTATGTCTTTAACTGGAGTACTGCATGTTATAATAATAATGTGGTTGAACAACAACCTTTCATAGCACTCTCACTTTGTGAGACTGTTTATTATCTTCAATACATGCATTGTTACCTCTTTACTCCTATAGACGCCACCTAAACAGCTAAATAGCTACTGGTACCCCAAAAGAAACCTAAGTCCTTGAACTTTTTTGTGCATAAACACAGCAAATAGTTTAGTAGTCAAGGATCTGATTAAAAGGACTATATTTCGTGTGAAAGTCTTATTCATTATTTCATTTTCTTGGATTAATACTAATAAAATAAACAAAGCCATGCCTAAAGAACACAAAATGTGTAACTGTCCAAACACTGTAGTTCACCTCACTGCACCACTTTACTTAAGACTCAAGTTCAGTGCAATCTAGATTTCGAAACTAGTTTCTAGGAGCTTAACCTTTGTGCAAAATTCAAAATGTATTGATGAATAGCTGAGGCCACCTAGTCCTGGCTTCTTGCCTTTTAAGATCTATAATAAATGCCAATGTAGCTGATTTTTGGATGTCTCTTTGGATCTGTAAATTGCAGTAAAATATGATTTCTTTCCTTGTTCTGTGCAATATTTTTGGTCTTTGGTCTTTGCACAATATTTTGGTCTCAATGGAATTACCATCCCCACCCTAAATGACCATAGCCCCTCCACCCTGATTTATTTATTTATATTATATAACTGCCCTTGTATACAGCCCCACAATGTTTCAATGTTTCTACACATACAGTGTACAGTATATAGTTTACTCACATATATGTATACATATATTGTTTTTCTTTACTTTTGCACCTTTGTGGTCCAGCTACCCAATTTCGCTGTGCAAGAAACCGCACAATGACAATAAAAGCTCTAAAGTCTAAAGTCTATGTAGAGCAATTAAAAAGTTAATATTGTGTTTGTATTTGTATTTTTTATTCATTGCAGGTTAAATATGTTAATATATGTGTGTGGTTTAAAGTAGATGTTTACTAGTAGAATTTACAGCTATTGAGCTAAACACATTTCTAAGTAAAGATAGATTACATAAGGTTGAATCAAGATGCCAGCCAGTACTGAGTTACTGGTACCAAGAAATGATGATGCTGATACTGACACTGATAAGGCTTCAGTGCCAACCTGTCTGAGTACTGAACAACAATATATGTCAGTGAAATTATACACCTCAGTTATCAGTGAAAGATGTCAGCAATTATAAGAAAGTCACGTTCAAACCCTTTATTTGTTCATAACTGCTGACATATGGAAACAAAAACATATATCAAGTTTAAATAATACAATAAAATAGATGTAATATAATAAACACTGTTGATATAAAAAGGATTTACATCAGATTATAACATCTATGAGCAGTGTATTAAAACATGTAGTGGTCTGCTATTCTCTATAAAGGGTTTATAAGTTGTTTATGAACAGTGGTAACACAATGACACAGCTCTAATCATAATTACATCAATAAACCTTTGTAAAGTGTTACATGACAGTTAACTAAAAACAAATAGCACATGCTAACAAAGCATTAGCGAGCATGAAACATTTAAATAACTTTTAAATGTCTCATAGATATAGTTACATTTATTGTTAATTTATTTTTTGTCCTTGGACTTGAGATTGATTTGCATAACTAACAGGTGAAGATAACTCCTATTTATTTTATATTTGGCCTTGATGAAGAACCTTCATTCACTTCCTACCCTTTAAGTCAACCTTCTTCTGATTTGCTGCCCCTTGCAAACAAAACAGCAGACTTAAATCTGCCAGAGCTGTATGTCTGACATGACCATAATAAGGATATCCTCTCTCTCATGACATCATAAAGAGACAGAAAAATAAAATAATTGATTGAAAATGGCTCTTTAGAGCTGTCTGAAAGTTGAGGTTTTAATTCATGAGGATTACTTGCATTTCATCGCTTCTCATTATTTGAAATGTTGGCCATGTTTAACATGAGCATCCACCACTGTAACAGAAAATAAGGAAAAGTATAACAGCTCCAGTCTAATGTAAATAAGGAAAGTCTTTAATTCAAGTCAGCTGACATATTTTATAGTAAGTGAATAGATTTAAAATAGGAGGAAATTTGTTTATTAGAGTCTTGTGGTAAGTAACATTTTAGTTCAATGTCAGTCAGATGATTGTGAGAGCTGGAAGTGGCAACCATGAACATGGCAGCAGCATGTGAACTGAGGAGTGGGTCATGCAGAAAAAAAGCAGTGGTCAGCACTCAAGGGAGGACAGATGTACCAAGAGCACGGCTTTAGCTATCAGCGGCAATGAGGGCAACAGAGAGGGCTATTAGCCAGCTAAGGTCAGGAACTCCACAGAGGGATGGTGACTGTGATGAGACAAGGCTTAGCTGTGCTCCATTTTTAATGACACCCAGCCTGAGGATAGATGTTGAGCAGCAGTGCTTATTTGACCTGGTCTGACACGAAAGCTTATGCTGCTCAACTTCGGTCAAAAGCCTCATTAATCCTTTCAGGAGATATCAGTGCAGGGAGACTCTCATGAATGGTAAAGACGCATACTGAATCTTTCCTCATTTAATATGACAGAATCCAATCTGAGCCACATTAGGAGCTTCAATCATGTGGACTTATGGGATGCTATATTGGACAGGGCTAAATCATCAGAGTAGCTGTTAAATAATACATGACTAAAACTGAACAAGCTCATAGCAGCTGATCAAGCTGTTCTTAAAATGTCAACAATAAACTGGGTGAGTTTCTGTGGGTCATGGAAGAGGTGAGTCAAGCAACTGTGCCATGGAGCTTCAATTATAAATCGGTCTAGGACAAAGTGGTGACCATGGAAACGGAAACAGAAACTATAAGAAACCTGAGAGTGCAGGTGAGATGCCTTCCCCCTAAGATCAGACAAGTAGCACACAGGTTAAGCCTCTCGCTGCAAGTAGACTGTGCTGCCCTTTGTCTCACTATGGACCAGCCATATTTATTGTTTTGTATACTGTTGGAAGTCCTGGCTGTAAACTGTGAGTAAGCTTCTTTTTCTCCAATATAAAGTTCACAAAAATATGATCATAACGAACAAAGTGAAAGTTGTGATGTTGTGATGGGCTAACATTCTGAAAATAAAAGTAGACTGGGTGTCTTCTAGGATGTGCTGCAAATGCATGAGATATAGCATTAGGGTATGCCTTCTAATCATTTTTAAAACATCCCTTTTAGCTGTGCACTTGCAGTTCTGATGATCTGTGAAGAGAAAAATTGTGACTCAGAGCCATTTCCATCTGGGTAGCAGGGAGAGGAAGAAATAAATGTGCACATTAATTTGAGTTAATCTTCAAAGATGATCATATTTCACAGTAAAAAAGACACATGACTGCTTTCTTGTTAAAATAACTGTTCTTATTTACAGGTAATCATTTCATTTAAAACTCAGATTTTTAATGAAATTTAAATGGTTCTTATTACATGATAAATACTTTCATCTTGTAGCATGTAAACTGTTACAGCCGAAACATCTTCCTGAGACACAGGGCTTTTGAAAAGGAATTGAACTTGAAACCTCAGTAACAATAGATTCAGTCTAACAACACAAATAACAATAAATAATTGTGGCCAACACCTGCCTTTGTGCCTGGAAATTATGTCACAAAGACACCAAAAAAGGAGATTCTGATAAAGATCTTGAGCGGGTCTGTGATTTGAGAAGAAGCAGCATAAAATATCATTTGGATAATGGTTTAAGACTTACCCAGACCTGAGCTTTAAAAAAAGAAAAAACTGTAGTTTATCACTGTTTAATCTTATCTTCTTAATCTTTTCAATTTTCTTCTATTTCTAGTTACAGTTTAGGAGACAAAACACTCAAAGAAACCCAATCTTAAAATGTTTACTTCCATGATCTTGCATAATGCTTTCTGATACACCCACATGTGTGTTAACCTCACACGCAGTCACTGCTGGGTGTAGTGTAGCCTATAGAGTTACCATTTTGTTGTTAAGATCCACCCCAGCTACTAATTATAGCCTGTGGTTAGATGAAAGCATTTCCATGCCTAAAGGTTCTCTCGGTTACTGTGATCTACAATTTTGGTTTCATTGTTTAATTTTCAAATATTTGCCATATAGATGCTTTGTGAGCCTTAGGGAACATTTTAGAAAATGTGGGGTCGTAGCTCAACATTGTAAAATTGCTAAAGTCATTATAATTCAAATATTTTAGGTATTCACATTTTTCTCTTTCTATTATCTATTAGGCAAAATTATATTTTCGAGTGAAAAAGGTTGCATCAAAGCTTTCCCTGATAGTTCCCTGGGTAGTTCAGACACTAACTTGGTACCAAAGTGTCACTTCTTATAAGACTATAGAATTATCTAATCTTTTGGTAAAATATAACATATCTCCACACCACACTGACAATTTGGAGACTCATTTATGAACCACTTGAGATCAATTTTGAATGTAATTAAACAGGAAAACACAAGAAAGCACTAATTATTAAACGCTTTCAAAGAATAGTCTAGAATATGTCTACGAATAGTCTAGACTTGTTCTGTCATGAACCTTTGGGTTCACACCAAGGCTTTAGTTGGCCTTGCTTGTAAACCAATCCTTCCATTCTCTTGCGCTTATCCAATTCAGGGTCTGGAGCCCATCCCGGATGCCATAAGGCAAGAGGAAGGCTAGGACAGGTCGCCAGCCTGTTGCAGGGCTAACAGAGATAGACAACCATTCACTCTCGCACTCACACCTACGGGCAATTTGGAATCACGAGTTAACCTAACCCCACTAACTGCATGTCTTTGGATTATGTGGAGAGAATGCAGATACAAGAAAAACATAGGAAGGCCCTGGACAGATGGTGCATTTCAAACCCAGGGCTTTCTTGCTGTGAGGAAACAATGCTAACAACTGCACCACTACACTGCTCCTAAGTATTCAAATGACAATTTTGAAGGCCGAAGTGGCTTTTAAACTCATCAAACACTAATAATAACATGATGCTGCAATAATATGATGTGGAACAGATAGTTTTAAACATTTTAAAAATATCTGTACTCTTACTGCTTCCATAGGGATTAAGACAATAAATCAGAAGTGATCCGACAGCGCACTGTACAAACTGCAAAAACCCATGATGGTGTGCTGATGGATTTTTCTGTTTTGTTTTGTAGCTACAGGGCTTGGGTACCTTGCAGTCACTGAGTCAACCATGAACTCCACTGTATACTAAAGTATTCTAGCATTAAATATGAGGCCATCTGTCCAACAGCTAACGCTTGAGTGAAACTGGGTTATGCAACAGGGCAATGATCTTGAGCACAGCAGCAAGTCTCCAAAAGAATAACTGGAAAACAAAAATCAAGGTGTAGCAATGGCCCAGTCAAAGTGCAGACCTTAACCTAAATGAGACAGCTGTGTAAAAGTGATTGCCACACAGTTCAATGAACTAAAGCTATGTTGTAAAAAAGTGGAGGAAATTTTCTCCACAGTGATGAGATAATGATAAAGTGATGCAGAAAACAATGGCTGTTCACTAATCTCAGACATATTTAATACATTGCCCCATTAACACAACCAGCAAGCTTGACCAAGAATACAAACACTTAATTTTAAGTTACAATCCATGATAGAAAATTTTCTCTAAATTCTGTAAGTGCTGAAATCTGTCTCTGTGTGTGCGCTGTACAGTGCTTCTGTGAGTTCTTTTCATCTTATTTGTCCTCACATTATTCAAAACTTCAAGGTCCAAGGGAAAATATGTGATTGCAGTGTCCTCAGCAGCATTTAAAGCCACAAATACACGAAGTGAAAAAATATAAAACTGAGCAGCTCAGTCAGGGGCAGAAGCATTGTAAACACCAAAGAGTGTTCCCAAAGAAGCACAGCTTCCAATTAGAATTAGTTTTACTCCAGTATCAGCTATACTCAGCTTATCCTTGAGTGTGGTCGTGGGCAGCATTTTGGAGACGTCCAAACTGATAGTGTTCTCCTTTTCCTTTAGGCAGACTGAGATAGATTGTGGGCTAGTTCAGGCCTTCTATTTGTGTTTCGCCCAGGTGTCCTTTGGAGGGTTGATTCTGTTTATGAGCTAATCAGATCCGGTCCAAATTGAGTTAACGTGTTACCTTCAAACTCATTTAAACACCAAACAGGCAGTCAGATCTATCCTCACTTAAGCCAGTGTGAAGTACTTCGGAGATGAGATTGCTTTTCATTGATCTGCTGAGCCACAAAGCAACTGTGCGGTGAAATCCTCTGTGGTTTTCTTTATGACCTGAATAGTTTGCACTGATCTTGTAAAGGTACTAAAAAAGAGCAACTGAGTTAGCTCAGTGTGGTTTACACCAACACCTTATGGACTGTTCTGTGTGTTTCTTTCTCTAAATCTAATCCGAGCTGAAATTTGTCATTGCTTGTGTGTTGCAGGTCAGAATGTTGGAGAGGAACGAATAGTGGGAGGATATGCACCGGTTCCACATTCCATCAAGTACATTGTGTCGATACAGACATTGGAACGAAAGCACTTCTGTGGGGGTTTCTTGATTAATAAGCACTGGGTAGTCACAGCAGCACACTGTAACATCGGGTGAGCTAATTTTCTCCTGTTGATTTACCCCTATGGATTAAAAAAGTTCTATAACTTAAGGCAAAGTTGACTTGATTGAGTTTTAAAATCAGTCACACATCACACAAAACCCCATGTCTTTGTGTTCAGATTTAACTTTTTGTAAGGAAGAAAAGGCCTCTTGATATAGGATAGCCTCAATTTGACTTCTCAATCCTGTAATTTCAACTCATATCATACAGTCAGATCTGTGGCTTATCCTGACTGAAAGAAAGCTAATGGCAACGATAAAAGCGCACCATAACAATGGAGCTTTGTTGTACTGAAATCTGACACAGATCATGACGACCGATCAGAATACTTTATTTAGATTGCAAACAATTTGAAGATGAGGAAGCAATATTTGTAGACAATGTTCTGTGCCCATTCCATATTCTAAGGTTTTAGCAGCAAATCAGCAAACTGATAAATTACAGTTTCCAAATGTCAGTATCGCCTATTTCCCTGTCAACAAACAGTTGCAATTGATGTCAAAAAGCTTTATTGCATTAATAGCAGTTAATTATTAATATATCAGCAGAAAAGCAGCTCTGTCTCCCAGACTTCCAATTTAATGTTAGCAACCAGATTTTAATGAAATGTAAATGTCTTCATTAATGACAAATTTAAAAAAATCTTTTTGGGGTTTTTTGTATGTATGTATGTATGTATGTATGTATGGATGGATGGATGGATGGATGGATGGATGGATGGACAATCAAACTGCATAACTTGGAAATTGCTGTTTTACATGACAAGTATAACCATCTCTTGTCTATAATTCTTAACAAGAACAAGGTAAAGAAGGACAGATACAACTCTGCGCTTTCTTGTCTTTTTACCAAACACAACCACAATGTTTTCCCAACTTCCAATCTGTTGTCAAGCATCCTCAGAAATTACATTTCTGCATTAACATGTATCTTGGCTTATGATTTCCTACAGCAGTGTGATAAAAAGCTTCACAGATCAGTATGTTTTTTATAGATAGAAGGCACATATCACACAACAGAGGCAACTCAAAGTGTAAGAGACCATAAAAATACATTTGGCAGTTTCAAGCGAATGGGCAAAATAAATTAAAATTTAAAAAATTTAAAAAAACACTGACGAAGCAAAGCTTTGAGGCAAGCGATTGATGTTTGCCTAAGAAAAAAAGGATAAAAAAGAATCTAGAAAACAGATACTGAAATCCTAAAACCAGGCAAAAAATCTATAGAGTTTATGAATTTATGGACCTCAGCCACATAAAAACAATTACAAAGTCTGCCTATTGATGTCTTGAAATAAAGTAAAATACAAATAAAAATGTCTGTCTAAAGCAGATACAGAAAAACTCACTCGCACATTCATTACACTACTGTAACAGTGTCTTGGTAGCAACACAAAACAAAAAAGAAAATCAGACATTACAGCTCATTCAGAAAGGTGCAACGCTCCATTGGCTTCCAGGGTCACAAAAGATATATTTTAAATTACTTCTGCTATTTAACAAATCACTAAATGGACTTAGAAATTAGTCACATAAAAATTTGTATGGTCTGCTACCCTTTATGTAACCTAACATAAACATCACAGCCTCTCTGCACCAGTGCAACATAATGCATTACTTTAAACTTAACCAGAGAAATTTTTCAACACTACCCCACCCGTCTTAGCCACTAAAACCTCTCCACACACCGCCTCAGTCTTTTCATGCAACCTTGGAATAGTTGCTTTGTAACTTGTGGGATCCCAGGAGCTATGAAGCAACTACAATGTGAGCACAGGATACATTTGATTGGCATATAACAGTGTTCTGCCCCTCTGTGACCCCTATTCTCTTTGCAGTGGCAGAGGGAATAGGGGTCATAGAGAGTATTTAATGTACTTACTGCCCTGTCATATGCCAGTTTAGCTCGGGTTAGGACAACCCTAACCCCATCATTACCTTAAATGGTAAGCTAGCGAGTATGGTCAAACTCAAGTATTGAGTCATAGGACTTAAATATTTATCCAAGCTCACTGGTGGTTAGACGGCAAAGAAGCTACAGTAGGCAGGATGAGGAGCCCTAAGTCAGTGACTTTATGACAGTTTGACAAGAATGATGCAAATATGAACCTGCCCCAAAGATAATGTTTATTTAACAGAGTCGTTACACCCTCTGGTACTCTTGGTTGAGCTGTGTAAATGATCCCCATGCCAAGTTTTTGCTTTCTAGGAAATTATTTTGAGACCGATTGGCTTCCTTGGATTTCACTTTGAAATACAACTTTAGGAGTTAATAAAATGAAATGATAAAACAAATGCAAATAACAACACCGTAAAAAAAAAGTACAAAAAACAAAACAGAGAGAAAATCTACAAAATATGTAATAAACTATTTTGTACTGCAATGAAAAAAAAAATCACTTCTACAGCTAAAAAGATGTTGTGTATGATGTGTATGTTTGGAGTAGGTAAAATTTATATAAGGAAGAAAATTGTTGAGACCTGGATAAAGTTGGACGTAAGGACTGTTTAATATCATCAGGAAAATGATTAATATACCATGTTGCAACAGGAAAAGCCTTTCTGTAAATAATAACCCTAATATAGGGTCACACTCCAGTTAAGTGTCCATGTTCCAGGGACTTGGATTGTGCATGCTAGTTTACTGGCATAGCTTATTAGGAAACACCCAAATGGATCAAAGCCAGCTTTAACACAAACACACCTGTGCACCTCCCCTTATTATGTTATTGTAAACCCCTAAGCATAAAACTCAATAGGTCTTTCCAACTCCAAGATCTGGATTTGTCACTGTAGTAAAACTACAACTGTTACTATTAAGAAGAACAGTTACTCTGTTTTATTTAAGAGCAGCCAGCATGTAAAGTATCTTGACGCTGAAACTGGAGTAGGTGAAAAAGATTCGGCAGTCGCCCATTGTTATGCTTATATGTTTGGTTTTCTTGATGTGACATGCCAAAATGTCTTTTATACCTGTGATAAAAGGCAGTGTCATAGATCAGAGTTACAGACCTTAGGCTTCTGTTGCATTTATGACTTATTTACAGAAAAAAAGTTGAAAGAAATCAGCTTGCCTGTGTTGATATAACTGTAGAGGTTTTCAGAGTGCATGCAGAGAAAATGAGAAAAAAATAAACAGAAGAAAACGAAAAGCGCCATTACATGATTTATGGCATTCACCTCCTGCATTGTTCCCTCTCTCACCTGGAGACCTCTGGGAGCACTGTGAAAATCATGTTCTTTGATTTCTCCAGTGCCTTCAACACCATTCTTCCCACAGTCCTGAAGGACAAGTTGGACAACTCAGGAGCGGACCATCACTGGACTTCCTCACCGACCGACCACAGTATGTGAGAAATCAGTGCTGTGTGTCAGACAGGGTCGTCTGCAGTACGGGGGGGCCCACAGGGAACGGTTCTGGCTCCGCTCCTCTTCACCATCAACACTGCAGACTTCTCTCACAACTCCACCCAGTGCTCCCTGCAGAAGTTCTCTGACAACTCTGCAATAGTTGGCCTAATCACTGATGGGGACGACAAAGAGTACATTGAAGTGACCCAAGCGTTTGTGGACTGGTACCAGCAGAACTACATCCAGAACAACACTAGAAAAACCAAGGAGCTGGTGGTAGACTTCCGCAGGCACAAACATCCTCCACTGCAACCACTAAATATCTAAGGTCTGGACTTTGAGGCTGTGGATAGCTACAGGTACCTTGGTGTACAATAAACAATAAACTGGACTGGACTCACAATTCAAGTGCTCTCTACAGAAAAGGGCAGAGCAGGCTGTACCTGCTGCAGAGGCTCAGGTCTTTTGGAGGGAAGGGCCCACTCCTGAAGACCTATGACTCTGTGGTGGCCTCTGCCATCTTTTACAGTGTGGTCTGCTGGAGCGGCAGCATCTCTGCTGGGGACAGGAAGAGACTGAACGGGCTGATCTGGAGGACCAGCTCTGTTCTAGGATGCCCCCTGGACCCAGTGGAGGTGGTGAGTGACAGGAGAATGGTGGCTAAGCTGTCATCCCTGTTGGACAACATCTCCCACCCCATGGAGAAGTCTCTGACAGCACTGAGCAGCTCCTTCAGTGGCAGGCTGCAGCACCCACGATGTGGGACGGAGAGATTTCGCAGGTCTTTCCTTCCAACTGCTGTCAGACTCTACAAGCAGAAAGACTTTGCAGATGACCACACACGTGCAGACAGACACACACACATATATCCAATATGACATGGTAGCCTTCGCCTAGTCTCCCCAATGTGCAATAATACCAAGTGCAATTTTCTGATGTCACATAGTATTTTAATCTATTTTGTATAGTACTTTATTCTATTTGATCTTATTCTATTCTGTTGTTTTTCTTAATTTTTGCTGCTATTAACTTTGTATTGTCCAGTTTCTGTCGTGATAAAAACAAATTTCCCATGTGTGGGACTAATAAAAGTTTATATTATCTTATCTTAAATCTTCTTTTACAGACATTTGACCCAGAAGATGTAATTTCTCTTTTTTTCATCTACAGGGTGAAAAACATGATGATTGTTGGAGGAGACTACTCTCTTTCTATATATGAGGGCACAGAGCAAGAAATCCTTCCCCACATTTTGGTGCCACATCCTTCATACAACAAAATCACAAACAACTGTGATATTATGCTTATTAAGGTACATAATACATTGATTTTATTTAGTTTCTTTTTATTTTATTTCGTTTTATTTATTTAAACCATGTTGCTTCATTTGTGTCTAACTCATCACATTGTCTACAATCTCTTCAGCTGAGGGCTCCATTCTATCTGAACAGCTACGTCTCCATCACTCTACTGCCCAGACAGGGCGCCCCCATTGCAGAGGGCAGACTGTGTCGTGTGTCGGGCTGGGGATACACAAATCCCAGTGGAGGCCCGATCCCCTCCACCCTCCGAACTGTAATGCTCCCCATTGTCTCCACAGAAAAATGTAACAGCAGTGAGTCATTTAGTGGCAACATCACAGAAAACATGCTGTGTGCTGGTTACAGTCTTGGTGGAAAAGATGCCTGTCAGGTAAGAGCATCTCTGCTTTTTTAAAATTCAGGATATGAACATGGCAACAGTTTTACAGCACCTTTCAAGTCATTTTTTATTTACGTAGCACCAGTTCACTATGACAGGTATGCCATATGGTTCAACATACTGCAACCCACAAGATAAGTGGGGGAATCCCAGTAATAACATTAAGGGATTGTTGCCTCTGATGCCAAACAATTGGAATCTTTTCTCTGACCGTTTAGAGAAAGAAGGGGAAAAAAAGAGGAAGCATTTTATGGAAGGCTTTAGGCAGGAAGGCCAGAAAGTAACAGAGATACAACAAAACAAAAAAACTAAGGCCAAGAGAACTCACACATTTAATTACACACATTCCTTAAGTTACTGCAACAGGCCATGGTTTATGCATTGAACCCAAACTCTTAGCTGCTTCCACGAGACAAGAGACTGATATCTGAAGCTTGTACCTCAAAATAAATATTAGTTATATTTAAATGGCTTCATAGTTTAATAGTTTACACATTCGCTTAGCAAGTGAAAAATCGACAGGGAGGAAAAGATATGCCTTTGGGATCATTTTTGTCATCAGGGAGGGCATCCCCTTGGTGACCCATTGCGACTAAGGAAGCAGCTAAAAGTAGATACTTTGTAATTAGAAATGGGCATTGAAGGTAAGGACAGAATGAAAAACACATATTATGCATATGTATTTGTATTTCTGCATACAATAAAGCTCACAATAAAGCTGCATCTTGTATAAAAACTGATCCATTGGGTAAAGTTTGATATAAAAATAAAAAATACAGGCATAGGACTCCATTGCTCTTGCTGTCAATAAATCTCTCCCTTTTTTTGATTTTCATAAAAAAATCTAAAATTAACCTTGTGTCAATTTGGCTTGCAGTTTATTTCAGCTTGTCTCAGAAAGTGCATTTGCAGAGTATTTGTATTTGCAAGGCATACTTTAAGTGTCTAAAATATTGTGTGTTCTTTTTTGCAACTTTTAGGCTACTGCATAACAGCATTTTGAAAGTTATCAGACTGTTTTCTGTAATATTGTTCTACATCTTCATTTATTTAGTCATTAAAAAAAAGAACATTACATTTTGTAAAAGAACATTTACTGAAAGTGAAAGGCAGCTACCGCTCTACAGCCCAAGAAAATATTTAAGGCTCTGGCTACAGAACTACAGAGCAAGTCATAGAATATCAATCAGAGATATTTAAGTTTCTTGTTGAGTAATTAGTAAAGACTTGAGTAAAGACATCCGTAACCTAACATATCATCCCTAATGTTTTCTTCCATCCTGTGGTATCAGGGGGACTCGGGGGGTCCACTTGTTTGCGATGGCCGGGTCTATGGTGTCGTGTCCTGGGGGAAAGGTTGTGCTGATGCTCAGTTTCCTGGAGTCTACACTGCTGTGTCCAAGTTCCGCAGGTGGATAGACAACACCATATTTAGCTACTACAGCAGATGCAACAAGAATTAGAGCCCAGTGCAACTTTTCACTGTTGCCTTATGTGACCTAAGTTAGGCTTGTTTTGCCCTTCATGCACATTTGAGTGTATGCTCATGTGTTAAAGGAATATTTAGAAAAATATTTGATTTGCTTTCTTACTCAAATTTGGATGAAAAAGGGTGCCTTTATATGAGGCTACAGTGTGGGGCCTGTCAAAGGTAACAAAACAAACCTCCAAGCACTTTTAAGTCTTGCACGTCACTTGGTAATATTTCCAGCAGGTAAAAAGTTAAGAACATTTTCAGTTTCTTCTCACTATTGGCAACGAAGCAAATCTGACAATTTTCCAAAATGTTCAACTAGTTCTTGAGCGGTTGTTACTTGACCTCAAGTAAATGTTGTGTCAGTCAAAAGCTAGAAACAATGGGCAACCGTTTTTGAGTTTTACATTTAGTTTGCCAGCTGCTGATCTATTTTAGGCAACTCATAAACAATAGAAATACAGTGGAATCCACCAATACTCTCAGGCAAAGCAGAACACGTTGAACACATTTCCACAGCGTCACGATTGAGGTGCCAAATCCTTCAGAGTCTCGTGGAAAAGAGAACAACAGAAAAACATAGTCATGATACCATGTTTCAGTCATGATACATCACAGTTTATGTTCTAAAATCCTTTAAGAAGTCAAGAAAGCTCACAGTCATATCCAGGACAAATTACTCATGTTTCACTAAAATCTGATCAATAATATAGGAGGAGTAGCAACGTTGTGAAAATGACAGTGCCTGTAAAATTATAAAAATGACCTAAACCTTGGTTACACTTTGGGTGAAGACCAATTAGGGGATCATTGTGTGCACTGTAAGTTTGAGTATATTCTGACAAATACAGAGGTAGTATCAACAATTCTTGTGAACTCCGGTGAGATAGACAGATACTTTGTGGACACTTTGCTATCACACATGCTCATCGGTCCTTTGGCTGGATGAGCTCAAAACATATGAAATGCTGTAAATAAAGCATGCTTACATTTAACCGAGCATATTGTGGCTATTACTGTAACATCACAAGTCGTATAGCTTGTTCATGAGTCATAGAAAATAGAAACAACCGCAGGAACTGAGTTTACTGAGTCAAAATGTATAAGAAAAAACAACATCAGTTCAATGTGAGCAGAAATCATTTAAAAATATATTTTCCCATATAATTATATATAATAATATATAATATATATATATATATATATATATATATATATCTTGTACCGTGAAAATGAAAATCTGATAACCTGTAGATTAGTCACATTAAAACAACTGTTTAGAGATGAAACTGGTGGGTAATTTGTACCATTCTATGGTATTTGCATTACAAAGTTAATGAATTATGAAAAGATTCCAAATTTGAACTGAAAATTAAAATAATGCTTACTTTAAGTTCAAAAAATCCGCTGGTTCAATTGTAACGCGTGCTGTGTGTGTCCGTGTTGTGATCAGCCTGTGTTTTCAGACTGAAATTCTATTAGTCAGAAAATGATCACTGCCAATTTGACATGATATATTCATGGTCTGTTTTAATGTAGTTGCATAAACTGTAATGTTTTTTTTTCTGTTTTTTAAACTTCAATAAATTACTAATCATCCTTTTTTTCATGCACTCTCTGCCTAACGTCTGTGTGTGCATTTACACAGTAAATGTTACAGCCATCAGCCTTAAGTTAAGTGGAGACCTTCAATAACGCATTACATGGGCTTTTCGGATAGATAACTCACAACTCTTCATGCCATGTCACTTGTACAAGTCAGTAAAAGCCTCTGCAGGGGAACAATTAATAAGCCACTACACTGATAAATTATTTAAAACTACAGCAATCACATTTGATATGGAGTGTAAATCTTGGCTGCTTGTCATTAGCCTTACTCAAGCCACAGAAGAATTACCCTAAAACTGGAATACCTTCATGAAATATGCATGGAGCCAGTCGTTGGACTCCTTCCTCCTCCTCACCAGCAGAGATTCCCGCAAGGGCGAGCCGTCACGAAGCCAGGTGAAATCAGTACAGACTGCATCACACCTGATAGGTGTTGGCTTATCACAGCAGAATGAATACTTGATGGCCTACTTTAGAGGGAGCTCTAGTTTCATGGCTGGTCCTGTTTGCTCTGTGTTGATGGGTGTGTCAATGCCCCTTGTGATTGATGGATTTCAGGGTCTTTTATGCTGCAAATCTTACAGGCTTGGTTACACAAAGGCTTATTCCCTTTGTTCTTGCATGAGAAAGCCACACTCAGGATTGTTAGGGTATATCACCTGACATGATTGATCCTAAGCTCCTTATATGCACGCTAGGTCACAAAAAGAAATGTACTTTAATGGGTTTCACAGAAAGCTATTAACTGAGCTATACATATTGTGACCATTCCCTAAGCATTTTCTCCCAATGGGCTTTTAATCTGCTGGGAACACAAAACGTGTTTTACAATGATAATGGCCTCTGTTACTCAAACTAGGTCGACAGCATCCATTATTTTCTAACAACTGAAAAGCAAAGTTGATTTTAAAACCACAGTTCTACATGTGCAGTTTTTGGGATGGGATGATGTACTGATATGTGGTAAGTGGTGACAATATGATTCTTTGTATAGAGGTAAGTAAAGGAGCATCGTTCAGAATTTAACTGGAAAGCTACCAGAAAACTATTACCAGTGAGTGACACCTCTGGCCATTAGAATAACTCCTGCATTGTATTCATGAACTACTATATTGTATGTGCTCTTTGTCATGTATAATTTACACTGAGTGAGAAACCTTTATACAAAGTTTACTGTATACCAAGCTTACTAATTACATTTTAACAAACCCCATCTGGGCATCCCTCATGACTATTAGTGTTGCAAACAAGATTATACACCGTTGAATTGTGTTTAGATCATTTATTGTTCGTTAAAAAAAACCATTTACATAGTTTCTTAGTATGATTCATAATGTTATATGCTTATTTATTCTCAATATTGTTGCAATTACTTATTGTCAGCAGATTAGGCATGCAACTCTCCTGTCTCTGAACAGTTACAAATGAGCTTGCTAAACAAAAACAGATGGCTATAAGCTAATGCTATGCTAGCTAATGTTTGGCTCACGTTTCAAGCTTTATCTCTGATAAACAGTTTGGATACACTGTCACATCATATGACAGTTTATTTGCTAAGTGTGCGAGTCCAACAATGTTAGATCAACTTTAAAGAAAATTTTGCTAATTCCGGCTAACAGAGGCTAACAGAAGCTAACAGTGACAAAAACAGCAGCATTTACTGACAGAAATTTCTTCAACAACTCAGCTCATTATTGCTGTCATTAAAGAAAAGTGAACTTTATCGACTCATCTATTCCTTTCACAAGGATTTACAGCCTCCACTACTATAGAAATATGTGGGCACCTGACAGGTGAGATGAAAAACAGATTGACAGCCTGAATTCTCTACAGATGAACGGCAGCCAGATTTGCTTGTCCTACAGCGTCCACCATAGCTGTGATTATGCATTTGAATTGGGAGGGTTAAGAAAACAGAATTACGTTGACTGCAGTATGGAATCTGCTGACATTTAATAGTGATATTTTACACATTGTAATTGTGTCACTATTGTGAAATCACGAACATTTTAAAGACTTGGCAGAAATGTGACTGTTGGCAACCCAGTGATAGTCTTGAGCCATGCATGCATGCACTGTCCTATCTGGACCTATTGCTGAGACTCAGGAACCTTTTTGAAGATAAATGCAGACAGATAAGAGGAACTCGCAACAACTCACAACAGAAAAGAAAAAAAAAACGTAGCTATTTATAAGAGATGACAGAGGTTTTAAAATGCACATGACTTATCTGAACCACCAGGGGGCATTTGATCATTAAAGCATAATGAATAGAAAAACAACAGATGAGGTTCAGGCCTGCTGGCACTTCCTCCTCTTCGCCTCCTCTCTGATTATAATAAGCCTTTCCTCTGAAGTGTTGTGTCTGCACTTAAACCTGTTACATCATCTTTCTGAATTTAAATTATTATGTATATTTAAAAAAGTAAAAGTTCTGAAAGGTGTCTTTACATTGCTAGTACTCCTCTATTAGATGGAAAAAGCAGAAGGGGGAAGGAACAGCACAGGAATATCCTTTGTTACCTGAATGTTCCTGGTACCTATTATTGCTCAGGTGCAGAGTCTTGGAGGCCAGACAACTGTTCGAGTTCAGTGGGATGCCAGGAAGCTTCAAGCCATGACAGAAGCTGAATTGAAAACGTGACGGGATTATTGTGCAGTCCTCTCAACAAAACCAGAGTCACTCAACTTCAAAAACAACCTCTTTTGGCTTTCTTTCTTCTTCTTTTCTTTCTCTTTTGACCCTGAAGACAGTTCATACTTTATTTAAAAATAAATAAATCTCTCCTTAATTCTTTAACATGACTTCAGCCAGGGGGCTTTTTTGAATCTGGGACAAGAAGCATGTGTAAAATATGCAGAAGATGGAATAATTGGCTCAGAGGCAAAGCTTGAATTATGTTTTTTCCCCCCTATTTTATACAGGATAATCGTTACAACAATGTGCAAACATTTATATACAGACACGGACAGAGGGGCTATCAGAAAATAGCCTGCCTTTATTACTGTGCAGTCAGGCATTCTCTCATAGTTGCTTCTTATAGTGATAACATTCTATTTGGTACCAAAAATAGATGCCGGTCTTGAACAGGAGCACAGATTCACTGGATAATGAGTAGGCTGGGTGACTGAATGAGCCGCTCGAGTTCAGACTACTTCCACTCTACAAAATACAGCTCTGGGAGAGTTAGTTGTTTAGAGAAGCCTCTAATGATTCCTATAATAGCTAATGGTTCACCTAAGAGTGAACCATTAGCTATTATAGGAAATAAGTCATTGATTATGGTTGCACAATTTTTAGAAGGCAGAATTCTTCATTTAAATGAGATCTGCTAATATTTCTGCTGATATTCTGGGAGATTTTACAACCACCTAAAATATGGGCTGTTTCTTTGAAAAGTGTTTGGGGCTAAATGGTGATGAATTTCTCAAGTGTCGCATCCTGACAGCTTTGGCAGTACACACCTGGGAGAGCAGACCTGAATACTAAAAACTCTCAAAGTTTATGGAGTCAGGAATGTGCTATACTGAATGACAAGAGCAGGAAATGCACCCTCATGTAATCAAATGGCTCTAAATGGCTCAATATATCCTATATAAAATGAGTCTTTCCACTTTTTTCCTCTGAAATATAAATACAGTGTCTTACAGTGAGCCTGCAGTGTGAGTGTGCATTTTTAAAACTCTACAGTGCAGGCCTATTGCGATTTGGGAAAAACACTGCAGGTGTAGCTGCCCATCATCATCAAATTGCCTATACCACCTAGATGTGGGGGATTATCGTAGTTACATAATGCACAAACATTAAGACAAAAGACATCTGTTCAGCTGCACACATCAATTAGTTCACTCAGACAAAGTGGAAACATTTACAGAAAGAGTCTGAGGCACAAGTACAATGTAAAATGTCAGACAGACAATCTGAAATGGTTTGAGGCGCAGGAAAATAAAAAATGATTAGCATTTAGAAAGAGGACTGGGATGATAATTGCAAATAACAGCACCATGACTTTCATGCAAGGCATTTAGCACAGAGAATGAGAGACACGTTTTCATCCATTTCAAGAATCTGTGAGAAGATTCTTTGGCATAACAATTTCACACACATTTTAATAACTTTATTTGTTAACCGATTATTGAGTGCAGGCAGGAAAATGCTTCTCTGCTCTTATAACAAGTAAAGACTGAATGATGAGAAAGACTTTGAAAAGCTACTGCTTCAATCCTCCCACTTATTTTTTTTTCTTGCCTCTGCTCCCTTCCATGTCCTTTTAGTGCTCAGTAGATTTATCAAGTTTCCCCTCAGAGAATTTAACAGAAAGTAGAGCACTTTAATCATGTTTCCTAACTTAGGGCTGCCATCAAAGAGAGGCTATGCTTTGTTCTGCTGAAAGTATATGGCTGATAACCCCCCAAAGCTTCAGATCAGAGCACACTGACATTATTCCCCCACCTCTTTACAAAGTGATGACAAGATAGACTGGCTTGTGGAAGCATCACTTGTATATTGTTGTGTATGCCTTTATGTGTACTC